TCAGCGACCTACTTGATAATATCACATCAAGAAGGAGACGTCCCCAAGGATCGTGTCGGCGTCGTCCATCTGATTATCCATGCAGAAAGTCTAAACGAGGTAGCCAGCCATGGAGGCATCGCCGGCGATCTCAGACCGCATCATCATTCATGGAAGCTCCACACGAGGTCGGACCTCCCTAACCGCGACCAACGCTTCATCCGTTGCGCCAACTTGGCCGTGCATGGCTCGGCTGAAGAAGGATTCGATGGTGAGCGCGTCGCCTCGACATTTTGTCGAGCAAATGGCGAGCAGGGCAGCCTTCCAGGCCCTCGTGTCAGCAATAGCGAGTAGGGAAGCGGAGGTGGCGGAGTCGTCGAGGTAGGAGGAGAGCCAGAGCAGGTAAGGGAGGAAGAGAAAGGGTTTGGCGAAATACAACGGCGGACGCAGGCTGGGTGGCACAGAAGCGACGGAGCGAAGTAGTCAACGAAGCGGCCAAGTACTGCCTATGGTAGGGATGCCCCACGAATTTTTTTTTAGATCGAGATGCTTTATTAGAAAATTATATATATATATATATATATATATATATATATATATATATAGAGCATCTCATCGTCCGTTCCAACCCTAGGATCCATGCGGAAGCCCGTTGCCTTCCCGTCGCGGCTAGGGTTAGGGCGGAAGGAGGCGATCCGGGCGGCGAGGCTGCTTCCCCTCCCGTCCTCCTCCCCTACTTCTCCTTAACCGTCACCAAAGGCCGCGGCGGTGGAGGTAGTCGCCCCTTTTCTGTGCGTTCGCTCTCCAGAGAGGTTCGTAAGTGTAAGCCGGCGCGAGGCTTTGTGATGCTATTAGACCCAAGAAAGTAGATAAGTAGTAGTAGTAGGCGGAGGAGGAGGAGGAGGAGGAGGAGCAGGAGGGCGAGATGTTGAAGACCGGATCTACTTCTCGCGACAAAGCCGCGAGATCCAACGCTAACGCTAACCCCAGCATGGGTTCAGCAATGGAGACCATATCTAAGGCTTCTTTGAAGGTTCCTTTGCCCAACGCCGGCAGCAAGAAGCGGTCGGATGGTGCCTCGACCTCGGTGCTGTTGAAGAGCAAGGAGGTTAAGCTAAAGAACAGCAAGCCAACTCCCGGTATCTCTTGACTGCTTTTATTTGCTTTTCTTGACATACTTATCCTTTGTTATTAGTGTCTCTTTCTGTCTACTTGTTTTTGTGTGCTTGCTAATCAATTAAGTAAAGGCACGGCGACTTCTACGCATCCAATAGATTAGTAGAAAATGTTTGACTTTAGGTGCTGGTATTTCCAATGGTTCAAATTGTTTTAGACTAGATTCCTGAAAAAGGTCTTGCTTTCCACTTACATGGCTTGTGCTGTCTTATTACTAGGTGGTAAACTTACTGGTCAACCCCTCTATCCTATCTTTTATGGGTGTTAGCTGGATTCGTGGCTGATAGAAAGAGGGAGACAACCAAAGCAAGATAACTTGGGCTAGACTAATTCAAACAGATTAATTTACCCCAGAGCTGCCTATTTTCAGTCGCTACCCAACAAATTTAACCGCGCCAAAATCTTTGTGCTCCTAATTTGTCAGTTTCTCTTAGGTTGCTGGATACAATAAGAATATTAGACAGCTGAACACATCCTTCTTCAAAGAATGTATTATGGTTGTTTAGAAAGAACGTGAAAACCAATAACACTGAACAGTGGCAATTGAGGACTTAAATCTTTCTAGGAGATATGGCCAACAATCAAGTGAGTATACAAAACTTTTCATGATTCTAGCTAAATTGAAGTGCCATCAACAATCAAGTGACTCCAAATATTTGGGACATATTGTAGTCTTACCTGTTAGGAGAGGTGAGAATTTGAATTAGAGTTTTTGGGAAATAGAAGAGCTTTTGGTTAGTGATGTGATAACACTTGGACTGCCTGATGGCAGTAATCCTAGATAGAGCTCGATGATGAGATTGAATTCATGTAGTAGCTCAAATTGTGACAAAGAAACTTTTTTTTTCCCCTTACCTATTAAAGTGCAACACTATGTTGGAGGGTTGTCAACTTGATATTTGACCTCACTCATCAAAAGTTGAGATGGATGCTTTCTTGCTTGCTTATCTTAATATTCTTCAAGATTTATCATTGATCCTGTCAACCTGTTGTAAAGGCATATTAGGCATCTTCAAACTAGGGAGTTACTTTTATTTCAAATACCTGAGTTTAAATTTCTGGCCTAATTCTTTATGGTATATTCCTTTTATCGGTCATGATATAAATTATAATTGAAGCATCACTATTTGTGGTCTCTTTTTCTTCTTTGTGTTATCCATGTGGTGAGATGAGATGTTATTTTAATAATCCTGCGTATGTTGCCTATTACTGTTTCTCTTTCTTTTATTTAGAATGACTTCTCAAAACTTTTGGCTTACGGAATCTTTGTCTACCAACTGAGTTCTATTATCTTTTCATGTATATAATAGAGCTTGCTGAAATTGGGAGTGAAGAGACAGATCTTAGCACATCAGAAGGGTATGATTCGTCATGGATTTCTTGGTTCTGTGGGTTACGTGGTAATGAGCTCCTCTGTGAAATTGATGAGGACTACATTCAAGATGACTTCAACTTATGTGGGCTTCAAGGACTGGTCCCCTATTATGATTATGCCTTAGACGTGATTTTGGACAATGATTCACTAAGTGGTATGTTCTTGTTGCAAACAAGATTGTTATTTAAGGCTAAATCATATATAGAACATTCTATGTTGCAATCTCACTTGGAAATTTTAGTTCTTAGCATTGTTTTTTGGATTAGCTTTTCCTCCTCTCAAGGATATTTGTTCAGGTGACATTGATGGCGAAGAACATAGTCAGGTTGAATCTGCTGCAGAGCAATTATATGGTCTTATACATGCTCGTTATATCGTAACCAGCAGAGGGTTAAATGCAATGGTAAAATAAATGAATTGTCTATCTATTAACACGAAAATATGGAAGGATTATGCCAATATATCTTCTTGTCTATTCTGCAGCATGAGAAGTACAAAAAAGCAGATTTTGGATGCTGTCCTCGAGTTTTTTGTGGGGGACAGCCATGCTTACCAGTGGGTACATCAGATATTCCCCACAATGGATCTGTAAAGATCTATTGTCCAAAATGCGAAGATGTTTACTTTCCAAGATGCAAATACCAGAGTAGTATCCTTTATTTACTGCTGCACTTTTTTTTTTGGTGTCATGCCAGAATTAGAGGAAATTGTTGTGCTTCTTTGTTTTCTGGGGGAAGCTAGAGTGAAGAAATAAGCTTTTATTTTAAGATGAAAGTCTTAAATACTGATCCACAAGCAAGCTATCATTTTGATGCATCACTAATTGAATGGTGCTGTGTTAGCTTTATGGTTGAGATAATTCATGCTTGCTAAGTTTTAATCCGTGTTAGGAAATAGAAGAATGAAAAAAGAGGCCAGGATACCTGAAACAAAAAATAATATACCTCAAGAAATGTGTTAAGATAAAAGAAAGCTTCTTTCCCCATCTGTGATAAAAAATTGAGAGGTGGAGATCTATCTAAATTCGATTTGTTTACAATTATATTTCTGGCAGATCGAGAAGATTTTGTGCAAAGAAACTTTGAATTCTGATATTGCTATGTGTTCTACTTTAAATTTAGATGCAAATAGTTTATCAAGTCATAGTAAAATCAAGCTTTTGATGATATGATTTGCTAGGCATGATTGTAAGAAGATGAAGTGAGTTTTCTATTTTATGTTTTTCTTATGTCTCGTGTTTAGTATTTATGGTATATCTTTTTCTTTTCCCCTAATCCGCTATTGTTGGATTATAAAAAAAAAGTCTCTACTAATTATTATGACCATCTTCCAATATGCCAAAACAGTGGAACAGTGTGGCGGACATTGCTATAGTAATTGTTATAGTAGCTTTAATTCGCAGTTTGGGGAGGTTGAGCTTCGGATTCGGCTATAGCGAAGTTGATCCTTTGTAACTTAGGTATCAAGGGAGCGTCTTTGCTTGCAAGAGATTGTATATACTGATCCCCTCCTCAAACTGCATATCAGCGAGAATTTTATGCACTTGGCTTCCTTTTTGACCTTTGAAATTGCTCCCTGATTCTTTTTTTTTTTTCCGTCTTTTGTTGGATGAAATGAGGCTTATGGTTTTATGCTTTATGTTTAGATAACCATCCCTCCAGTTTGCCCTGTCTGGCATGACTTCTTTGTAATGCTAGAGTTGCGGCAGGTCCAAGCTAGCAGCTAACAGAAATATATACAGCTCATGTCAGGCAAAACCTTGTATGCCATATATCAGTTCCAAGCATCATTATAGCCATGTAATACATATGTTTGCTTTTTGTGATGCTTCTATGGAGTGCGGTACAGAGATTGCAGCTTCTGATTCTTTGACTTTGATCAGATATGGATGGTGCATACATTGGCACAACATTTCCTCACCTGTATTTGATGACATATCCTACATCAAAACCTCCAGCAGAAGTCCAGCATTATGTGCCGAAGGTTTTTGGATTCAAGTTGCATAAAGGTACCAAACAATTGTTCGACACATCGACTAATACCTTGTAGCATGTTAACTAAATTTGTATTTGGTCCGAGAGCAGGTCAATCGTGCTCCTTTTATATGCTTGATTGCTCTATGATAAAAACGCATTATGAATTGCTTTCGCCGATGACTCTATTGGATGCATCGTGTGAATGTTGGTTTTGTTGTCTGAATTACTTGTAGCCCTGTAAAATTTTTGGACACTGGCCTAAGAATGTATTGCTTGTGGCCTCCTTGATGCATTTTTCCTCTACCGTGTTTCACTCGTTTCTTCTTCGTGGAGAATAGATTTGTTGTGGCCTCTTCTTCTGTGTCATTTACACAACTCTCACGTAGTACTCTGTGTGTTTGCTGCATAACCTGCTGTGTGTTTTCTACACTGCGACAAGTGATATGTTTGATCCTTTTCTTCGTTTCCTTCTTTCATGACGCGTGCATGTTCTCTTAGGGAAACATATTTGTCGTATTCAGGTGCAGGAAAATTACAAGTCTCCTACATTGTCGTTGCATACCCCTTTCATCGCCAAGCAAAACATGTCACGATTAACCAATCAAGTGGGTGTTAAAAAAGGAAGAGAAAAGGGGAGAAGTCAAAACACAAACCAACAAAGAAAGACGACGCAGTCAAACCAACCAGAGCTGATGGTATCCGTAAATCAATTACTGGGGAGAGGGAGCGGCGAGGGCGTCGCTGTTCACGTAGTAGGGCATGATGGTGTAGATGGTCTGCAGCACGGTGAGGACCAAGAGGAAGATGGCGGCGGCGAGGGAGAGCGTAGCCCAGGGGCTGCGGAAGTAGGTGTGGATGAGGTTGGCCCGCCACATGTTGATGTTCTTGCGGCAGTACTTGTTGACCTTGCGGTGGACGTCGTCCAGGCAGCTCTCCGGATCGAGCACCACGTCCTTGGAGAGGCTGTTGAAGAGCTTGGCCACCGCCTTGTCGCTCCCCACCGCGTTCTGGATGATCCCCTTGGAGTGCAGCAGGCTGACGTCCTTGGCGGAGTCGATGATGTTGTCCATGAAGAAGACGTAGGAGGTGACCTCGTTGCCCGCCCCGAAGTGCAGCCGCTCGAAGGCCATCAGGTTCAGGAACATGTACTCCGTCGCGTCGTCCACCACGATCACCGGCAGGCTCAGCACCCCGTGGTGGAAGCTGATGTCCCGCAGGCTGTTGTTCTTGCTCTTCTTGAACCGGATCCCCGCCTCGTACAGCTCGATCGCCGACCGGATGATCTCGCTCGAGCCCTGCTCCGCCGACGAGGCCGCCGACCGGTGCACCGGCTCCGACAGCAGGCTCTTCCGGAACAGGTCCAAGGGGTGCAGTCCCAGCCCGACGATCGGTGTCGGCGATCGCTCATTCGGCGGCACGCAGAACTTGAGCACCAGCTTGTTTATGTAGTCCTCGTGCTGTATCACAGAGCTCGTATCCATGGTGACGGCATCGACGACGCAGGAAAACGAAGAAAGCAGCTAGTTGATCATCATAGTTACCTTAGGTTTACTGGTCTCGACGGAGACCAGCCTGTCCAAGGCCAGCAGCGGCAGCTGGTTCTCGATCATCATCATGTCTCGCTTTATGTAGGGCACGGTGTACAGCATCCCGTGGCTGCTGAAGATGGGGTCGTTGAAGGCGTAGTCGCTGGAGGCGCCGGTGGCGGCGCGCATTATCTCGAGCATGAAGCACCCATCTAGGATCATCAGCTGCAGGAACCTCTCCTTATCCTTCCACTGCTCGTCGAGGCCCTGATAGGCGTCCTGCAGTTGTGGCACCACCTCCTTCATGGCGGCCACGAACTCGTCGAGCTGCTTCTTGGCTCGCTTCAGGAAGTGGACCAACGCCCGGAGCTTGTGCTCCTCCATCGGCCTCACGTCGGGGTCGCCGTGGTGGAACGGCCCGAAGGAGACGACCTGCGGCTTGTACGCCTTGCGGTTCAAGTCCTTGATGCAAGCGGGAACCTTGTATATGGATTGCTTGCTCCACCGCTGCATCTCGGACGAGGTCTCGTTGTTGTTGAGCTGGTCATGGATCTGCATCACCCAGGGGTTGGCCATGACCAGCGCTTCGTTGAGCTCCATCTCATTCGATCGCCTGCCTTTATATGTGCCTTGCAGGCACCGATCATTTGGGTTTGGTGTGGCTTTACAGCCAACTGATGGGCAGGCTTTGTCGGAGATGATCATATGGGGAAGGAAGCAGAGGAAGAGTATGGAACGGGAGAGGTATCTTTGGCTCATGGGGAAGAGGAAAAGAACGAAGGTGGAGACCCTGCACGACTCTCCTTTAAAGCCGACGGGGGGATACTCTTTGTAGCAAGTCACACCAACGTGACTCGTTTCTTTTCAGGCGTTTTGCCTGTACGTTTCTCTCATGTTTGCATTTGTCGTTTTTATCCCTATAATTTTCTTTTTCACGCATATATATATATATATATATATGGATAAATTTTATTAAAAAAGCTTTCTGTTTTTTTTTTCTTTAAAGTACTCTTGTTTCTTTTATGCACTTTTTTTTTTCATCTTTATCATTTTACCCTTGGCCTCTATTGATAGTCTCAATCTCGTCGTTTCTATCCAACTGCCTCTTAAGACTATCCTCTCCATCACATCCTCGTGAAGGTTGGTAAAACTTTCGAGCATGTCCTCACTCTCGTTCATTGCTACTGTTGCACTAGTCTCTTCTCTCACATTGTTACTTCATCGATAGATTCTCTTTATCGTCAGCGTCAACCTTGAAAGCGTATGAGGCAAAGGCAACGAGAAAAATAATAATCATGATGTTGGTTATGATAGAGATGGAGGATGAGGGCAAAGGCTACGAATGAGGGTATGACATAATGACGAATAAGGACCGACAAAGGCTACAAATGAGAGTATGATAATAATGAAGGATAAGGACCTTAACAATGACAACAATGGACGAGGGTGGACGAAGATAATGAAACCGAAGTTAATCTCATTCTTTACAAAATAAGAGATGCTATGCAAAAATATAATAAAAAGATTTTTTTTTTGGGAGAATGTCTTTGAGTCATTGAGAACTAAATAGTTCATATATATCTTTAATAAAACTATTTTTACAAATTCATGTACTTTATTTAAAAAAATAATAAAACTAGCTAATAGTGACCAAATTTGGTGATTGTTATCTCAATAAACATTGAACGAGAAGGAAATTAAACCATTGCAATTAAATAAGAGATATAATTTCTTATCAATGTGTTTTCAGTAACAAAGTACAGTAACAAGTTCATGAAGTCTGTAAACAGACTCAATACAGCATATCACCAGACAACTCCATCAATTGGACGATAAAACCATGAAGAACATTTATCTTCACTAGTGCTTTCACCCCTTCTTATTCTACACTTGCAATCTAACCTCTTATTAGGAGGCAGCTAAGAGAGAGAGAGAGAGACATTGGATTATTTGTGCTTTGCTGTTCCAACAATAGAAGATGCAGAAGCGAGGGAAGTTTAATCATAGTCTCGTATTAGTGGTCGATGAGTGCGATTAGCTGGTCAACGACGCTTGGATCCACAAGTGTGCTAGTGTCCCCCAGCTCATCTAGCTGCCTGGAAGCAATTTTCCGCAAGATCCTCCTCATGATCTTTCCACTCCTCGTCTTCGGGATTGCGGGTGCCCAGTGGATTTTGTCTGGGGCAGCAAAGGCGCCAATCTGACCAAGAAATATCCATCAGTTCATAGCGAACAAATGAGTTTTGTCATAGTTTGCATCAACAGAACTATTATCTCAACAAGTTTCATGTGTTGTGCAATCAAAGTAGTGCTGTAGATTGAAAATTTTGTGGTTCTCTCAAATCCCTTCATCTACTTTATCCCCGGCTGTGGATGAATGTGCTATTCGAAATGAAACAATGATTGCGGCCAGCGTGCCAAGCCATCAGGTCGCTGGCATCATAATGCAATTGGGTACATCAGTTCAAGACACAGGTATACCTCTTTATTTGAGCTTGCAACAGTCAGTGGGAGTATGCCAACAATGAGTCATGAGCATATCTAAAACACTGTATGTTTGTATTCCATTTCTGAAGAGAGAGGTGATAACATAGATAGTATGCCAATAATTTCAGTGAATGTTAGAAAAATAGATTCACACCCTTGAAGTCCAAAAGTATAAATTTCTTACGATGATAATTAGTAAAGAACATATATGTTATGTTGAACGGTGACCAGCTTTGTAAAAAGATAACTTAGGAATAGTTAGCAATAAAAGTAAAAAAGGCATTTGAAAATTTTGATAACCCCTTATAAATATTTGATCAAAACTCAGAAGTATGGTAACATAATGGAACAAATGACTATCAGATGCGTGTCAATTAGGAAACCATGAAACCATGGTGTGAGACTTAAAGCTTAAAGAACATAAAAATGTTCTAAATTCAGTGTATAGGTCAGGAATTCAGCATCTGATTTGATAATTATATTCAATATGCCAAGCATAACAGGAACAGACCTGGTTTCTGACTGCCAAAATGAGGCTTTTTCGAACTTCTTCACTGTAAGGAATGCCATCCACTAAAGTGACAAAAGCATATATGCCTTGCCCTTTGACCTGGACCCAGAAAAAAACTAAAAAAATTATCAACAACTTGGAAGGACTAAATGAGGCATCAAGCATGAAGCTGAAGTCCTTTACCTCGTGGTCAACACCAACTACAGCTGCCTCGGCACAGTGGGGATGAGAGACAAGGGCAGATTCTACCTCAGCAGTGCCAATGCGGTGTCCACTGCAGACAACTCACTACTTAATTATCATAGCACCAATTTAAATGAACTCTAAAAAGCTAGTCCACATGTGTAAAGGCCACATATGCAGTACCTGACATTGATAACATCATCGACTCTTCCAGTGAGCCAATGGTAGCCATCCTTATCCCTAATGCATCAAAATAATAACCAGAACAAATAGTTTACTATGAGCAAAAGTTGGATATCCAACTAGCACACTAAGCTGTTAAAACTCATTTTGCAGGAACTTATGGCATAGAGATGAAGTTATAAGTCTGTGAATCAATTAACATGGCTGAACAACTACCTGCTGCAACCATCACCGGTGAAGTAATAACCAGCGAATGGTTTAAAATATGTGGTCTCATATCTTTCATGATCACCATAAAGCGACCGGAATGCCCCTGGCCATGACTTTTTGATGCAAAGATACCCAGTGCATTCACCTTCTATCTCGTTTCCTTTCTCATCAACTATGACAGGCTGCAATGTATCTCAAATTTCATTCCAAAAGACTATACACTTAAACATAATCTCTACATAAACCCACATTTTTCCATATAAATAACTTTGGTGCATACCTGAATACCAAAGAAAGGAAATGTGGCAGAACCAGGTTTCTGTGGCCAGGCACCAGGAATAGGTGTAATCTAGAAAAGGGAGAGAAAAGGAAGGGGCAAAAATAGGTGAGTGAATAAAGGATAACAAATAATAACCAGTAAAACATAGACTAAAAGATGGAGCATCAACACACCATGAAACCGCCAGTCTCAGTTTGCCACCAGGTATCTGATATAGGGCATCGTGAATCCCCGACAACATTGTAAAACCATCTAATTAACAAACATAAAGAATGTTAGTTATTCATTACATTCAGAAGATCAACTAATCCAGAGTGAAGTGTTGAACCTCCATGCACTAGGGTTAATGGGCTCTCCCACACTTCCTAGAATACGTAGAGACTTACGAGAGTAGCGAGTAACATACTGCATCACAAATTAGAAAGGTCACTACCCAAGGCATACATGTACATGTGCATGCATTCTTGAATGAAGTGTTGTATGTGTGTATTTATGTACAAAATAAAAATTATAAACACAATTACAGCCAACTATATATCTTTTAAAAGTGCATAAGAAGCACTAAGACACTCTTTTAAAAGTGTATAAGAAGAATTAACAGTCTGTTAATCGTACAACATCACAGACATGGTCCAAGGTGTTGCTGTGTCTTAAGGCTCCGATTTGGCCAATTTCTTTAACATTAATGAAAATCTATGCAAGAAATTTGAGTACAGCATAGTGATTTAAAAAGCGCTAGATGCCAAAGTTCAAAAACGTCCGAGGCGCTCGCCCGAGCGAAGCGATGCGCTAAAATATGAAAATATATAATATAATTAATAAATATAATTATTTAAATAAAAAATATGCTATTAAATTAAGAAAATCGAGTATAAAATCACAATAAATAAATAAATCATAATAGTATATTTTTAATTTTTAAATAAAAAATATACTATTAAATAAATAAAAATTAATAGTATTAAAATCAAAATAATATATTATTAATCTAATAAATAAAAATACTATTATTAGTATACAGTTAGCAGTATACTATTAATATATTGTTAACAGTATAGTGAGAAAAGTGTGAGAAGACCAAGGCTGCTGAGGCAACGACAACGGTAGCAGACAATAGCCATAGTTGGAGCGGGAGCGAGAGCGACGAGCGATAGTGACAACGGGAGCGGCGACAGTAGCGGCGAGCAATGACAGCAGCGACAAGCAGCTATTGTGGCAGCGGCGAGTAGCGACAGTAACGACGAACAACAACAGTGGCAGCAGCAGCAGAGAGCAGCAATAGCGGAGAAGAAATCTTGACGACAAAATCGCGAGTGTTAGGGTTGGGAAAGTCGGGGAAATCGCGAGAGGGAGCCTGATATCGGTGATTTAGTTGGTTCGATTGAACCAACTAAAGCATTGGAGACCAACCAGACCTAAAAATCTGGTTCGGTCGCCTGGTTTAACCAAGGCGCTCGCTCGACGCCTGGGCTCGGGCGAGCTGTCACGGACAAAGTTCTAAATAGGATGTTTGATGTAATACTTATGTATGTCCGTGTCTTTCTGTTTGTTCATGCTTTGCACAGCATGTAGAGGAACGGTCGAAGGCTTAACAACCTCATTTTAGTTGAGTTTGGTGGCCTTCTTAGGTTTGTAAATAAATGTTGTGTCATGTGGACACTTATGAGAGATATTCAGTCTGTAGTAGACCATTTTGACCCTTTGTTGTGCAACCGTTCAGAGCTTGTAAAGTCTATTTATAATTTGCATTGTCTATGAAGTGTTTCATGGAATGTTTGCTTGTGGATCCTGAGTGAGGCGCTTTCTCTAACTCGTTTTCTCTTTTGTAGGTCCTAAGGGATCATGGGAGGTTTCGGGGAGGCTGACCTTTACGGATGGACACGCAAGGGTGCCGCACGACTTAGGCAAAACCAGCTAAGTCCGTGACAGAGCTCCCAGGCGATGCCTCATTGAAGCGAGGTGCCTGGACATGAAGTGAGGCGCTCGGGCCTCGCCTCGCCCGAGCGCCTATTGAAATCACTAGTACAGTAGATGAAAATTACATTATTTTTTCAGATGTGATGAGACAAAAAGAGGACCCTGTGAAAATGGTGTCGCTACTAATGATCCAAAAACCAAAGTATGAAGCATACGTCATACAATCAGATATCTAATTGTGGACAAAATTGAAATACAATGAATGACTACAAATTAGAAAAGGGTATCCAAAATCTATAATGATGGGAGATGAAAGAACTAAGATTCCTACCTCATCACCATCACGCATTAGGGCACGGACCAGTGTTGGTGCTGTGTAAAGTATTGTCACCTTGTACTTATCGACAATGTCCCAACAACGTCCAGGATCAGGGTAGCTTGGAGCCTGTAATTTTTTTTGGAAATAATAAATGTTTGAAAAGATCATTGACATTAAACAGACCATATTAGAAAGGCTGATATCCATGCAAAGAAAGACCAGTTTATAGGTTACTGCTTATCGATCAGTGGGCAACCCGTAGAAAATTTTCTGATGTAAAAGAATTGACCAATATAGTCAAATACATATAAGTTGATTCAACATGACCAGCACTTCAAGAAATTCATAGTAATGAATTACCCCTTCGAAGACTAAAATAGTAGCTCCATTCAAAAGAGGACCATATGTGATATAGCTATGTCCAGTGATCCAGCCACAGTCAGCAGTGCACCTGACACAAGAAGAATAAGAGATCATGATATAAGTACCAGGAAATACAATTTATGTAGAAATAGTAACATATAGAAGATCTTTACAATAGGCATAGCCACAAAAATACATAGAACTGTACCAGTATACATCTGATGGCTTATAGTCGAAAGCATACTTAAACGTCGTTGCAGTGTATACCATATAGCCCCCATTTGTGTGTAAAACACCCTGCAAGTAGAAAATAAATACACAACAACTTACAGTAACAATTAAATAAGTGCGCTCTGGTCACCTTTGGCTTTCCTGTGCTACCGCTTGTGTATAAGAGAAACAGTGGATCTTCTGCATCAACCCATTCAACCAGACATTTTGTTGGAAATTGTGGGACAACATCCTGAAGACAGTACATAAAAAATTAGGGGCAAATCAACTAATTGCTAATTTAATGGCATTAATGCAAATGAATAATGAACATTAGTAAAAAGTTTATTTCAGCAAATGTTTAATGTAAGAAGTAGAAAGGCCTAATTATGACATGCCTATAAGCAGGCAAGTTCACTGACCTCCCACCAGACATCTCTTCCTATCTGCCATTTGGTAGATTCTCTCTTCATAGCTGACTTGTTTTCAAAAATCAAGCACAAATCTGTAAAGGGGAAAAGGGAGATGAGTAGTAAGCCAATGGGAATAGAAGATCTTGTTCCAGATAGAATTATATATATTTTTTTATGTTCTCAAATTCTAATAATTTATCATGTAAAGAGACTACATATATTGTCTACATATTGTCTCAAAGGAGACATCCTAGTGGTTAGCATGTTCTAGTATTTAAGCAGTTTGAGGGTTGAAGTCCCATTGCAAATATTTAGTGCGAATGTTATGCAATACTTATGTGCCGAATAAGCAAAATTTGAAAGCGGAATATATATCTACACACACATACACATGTAGTATAACTAGTCCAGTTTTTGGTAGGCTAGTCTTTAATGAAAGCTTTTAAGTTAAAAAAAAATTCCTAAAATTGTGATAGGGTATATGCTTGTTGGTTCTAGCTTCTACCAACTGTCTGTGTAACATAATCGGATCATCAAACACATAGTAATCCAATAAAATTCAGTTCCTAAAAGAAAAGCTTAGTTGCAACATGACCACGAAAGCTGAAAATGGCATTATATGAGGAGGATAAAAGAATATTGGAAATCAGTTAGGTAAGTGGCAAGTAATAGCAGACAAGTTTTATTCCATGAACAAGACATGGCTAAGAGAAGTTTCTATTCGCGTACCCACAGGAACTCCACTATTGACAGACTCAACCAATGCAGTGTCAACTATCTCCTTGAGATGAATAACCTTGGCTCCTCTACACACCGCATTGCAGCTTATCATGGCTTTTGGTTTGCAGTCAACAATTCTCTGTGAAAGAGATTCAGCCGAGAAGCCAGCAAATACGACCTGAAGAAGTCCACAATATCTCATTTCTTGACATCTGAATACAATCATGAAAATCTTGACAAGATCGTAATAGGATATACCGAATGGATTGCACCAATGCGAGCACATGCCAACATTGCAATTGGCAACTCCATCAGCATGGGCAGATAAATGATGACCGTATCCCCTTTACCGACTCCGACATTTTTCAAGTAATTGGCAAGCTGTTTGAAGACACTGAAGATTGATTACCGATGACCACCTCTGTTACAAGGTTCAACTGGTAGGCAGATTGAGATGAGCACAAACATACCTGGCAGACCTTCTCCAGCATCTGGGCATAGGTGAGCTGTGCATCTTGACCCGGCTCATTGCCTTCCCAATAGAGAGCCACCTTATCACCATTTCCTGCCTCTATGTTCCGATCCAAGGCATTGTAACAGATGTTCGTGACACCTCCTTTGAACCACTGTGATCAGTAACAGTACATCAGAACATAATTTATAGTTCAGCCCATTGTTTATGCATTCTTTGCGAGCAAAACTAACCTCAATCTTAACAGTGCCCCTCCTCACGTCAATATTTTCGCTGCAGACCTCCGGATTCCACCTCTTCTTCCAGCAAAATTGGGATGCGATATTCGACCAGAATCCCGCAGGATCCTCGATCGATCTCTCATACATATTTTGGTACTAATTCATGAAACGCAGAGATCATATGTCAGCAACAAAAAGAAGATCTAAGATGAACGGAAACCAACACTTGTGGCCGTAAATCGAAACAAATCGAGGAAAAGAGAAAAAGACAAGTCTTTTTGGATCCAGAAGTGATCATCTCCTTTTGGATCTGAAATGAACGTTTCAGATAAAAAACTAGATCTTTTACTCGTTTCGAAACAGTGGCGGAAAGGCCGAGGTTAAAGGAGAGAGACCTGTTCCGGGGAGGAGATGTGGGCGTGGCGGGAGAAGTCGTGGGAGGGAAAGACGAGGTCGTTCTCCTCTGCGGCGAGGGCCTCCCCCAGGACGACAGCGTTGAGGCGGGAGATTCCCCCGGACCCCACGTGGCGGAGGCGGTCGTGGTGCGGCGCCGACCCCATTCCCAACAACCAACGGTGGCGGGGAGGAAGAGCTCTCGACGTCGAGAAGAGGCGGCGCGTCCAGGGCATCGCGATCTGCGACCACTTGGTTGCAACCGGCGGCGTAAATAGACGGGTGGAGGACAAAGAATCCATTCGTAAATCGATAGATCGGCGACTGGGAAATCCACTCGATTAACGTTTTCGTCTTCCTCTCCCTCTCTCTGCTACTGGTACTCCGAATCAGATCCAGATGAACCTGCCGAAGCACTCGCGAGCTTGGTTTGGACTTCACTCGATGAACAGAGGCGGTGAGATCAAACCCATCGACCACACTGTGAAACCTCAACGCATTCAACCAGCAGCTTTCGCCCGCGGTACTCTGCCGTGGCAGCTCCACCATGTGTGGCTTTCGCTGGGATCATGAAGCTTGGCGGGATCTGCAACAGTGAGAGGCCTCGGAAGGTCGTCGGGCCCCACGTAGAATCCATTGCTTCATATCATGAATCCGTTACTTCATATCATCAAACGCATCCTACAAGACATCGCATTATGTGCGGAATTAAATGGTCATATTTTATGAAAAATTAATGAAAAAATTTCTTAATATGATATTATAGTTAAAAATTAGTTATATATATATATATAAGTTTAAAAGTATCATTATATTTAACTTTTGTATATAGCTTTATAACAACAACAAAAAAGACTATATAGTCTGATAAGAACAAAAATGGCGACATGATGCGCCATGACGTCAGTCACGTCAGGATGACACAGTGCCCAAGGGAGTAAGCATTAACGCCGACTTGATGTGCGCCAACGTCAACCGCTCCTAGGCGACCTCATCGTCTGACCCCACACGCCCGGCCGAGGCAAAGGAAGGCGTCGACCGAAGCTCGCCCATACCCTGCGGCAGTTCGGTCCTCCACGCAACACCAACGGCAATGTCAGACACCATCAGAGGTACGGTCCTGCCCCAGCATGCAGGCACATCAGGTAACACTAAACTTGCCTATAAATACCCTCGGGTTCTAAACAAAAAAGGATCCATGGACAGAGAAGCACTTCTTCATTCGAAACCACCTCCACACCCACTGACTTGATCGTCGGAGGGGTCGGGCTGAGGTTCCGACCCGACCTATGTGCAGGTGAAGGACCGGCGTCGCCTTTACCCGGCGCTGCGGCGAAGCTTTCCTCCTGGCCTGACGCGACGTCCCGACTAGACCGCCGCAGTCGACCACCGGGAGACCTCAAGGGACGCCGCGCAAGATCACCGTCATTCGGACCCCCGAACAAGTCACGTCGACCCCGAGGCCACGGCTAAAAAAATTGTTCACACTAACATAGTCTATCTTGAATAACTAAAATATTACAGTCTGTTATAGGTGTTTTATATATATATATATATATATATATATATATATATATATACTTCAACAACTTAGTATGAAGTTTATGCACATGAAGTGATCATAGACACTAAAATTATAGAATTTATCTTGATTTTAATGAACATGTGATTACATTTTGCTACTACTTGTTATGTTTTTCTTACACTCAGTCTGCATAAGACCCTTTTATTTTATTTTTTGTTGACCCCCAAAGTCAATGTTCCTATCATCGTCTCCATCCATGCGATAGATTTCAAGTTGGAATCTATATATAAGTATCTTATATATTAAGTAATAAACAAAACTAAATAATCACTTATGACTCCACACGGGCCCACATGGTATGTGGCGGGGCCCATTTAGAGAGAGAGGTCAGCTATCTCTTAGAAATATCTAATTACCTTTTTGTGATGATAATTGATATTATTAAGAGAAATTGAGAATTGGGCTCACAATCAATTCTTGATAACCAAAGTTGTAAATCTTTTGCATACTTTGCAATAGGTAAAAGATTTAAAATCTCATTATGAATTCTAGAAGACATCACCTAACACTTTTGATGTTTGATAGGAGTTTTCTGGAATCAAGTATTGTTTACACCATTATCATTTAAAAGAAACACGTCTTTCCATCCCAAATATGTGATGATTTATCTTTATAAATTTGTCGGATAGGGCAAATGATTCGTAGAAGAAGAAGCATCACCAAAAGTCTTGGGTCAATGACGGAGATTGGTACACTTAGGAACGAAATATTCCACATGAAAAAGATGTGAGAATACGGCGTGTGGGGGAATTTAATTTGCAGATGGATGATTCCTATGAGAAACACGATCAAGATTTTTATCGTTGAATAAACAAGATCGTCGGATGCTTAGTGGATATTAATTCCACACGGAAAGAGAGATGTGATGTGACATATGAGGAAGCTCGTCATTTTCATAATTATGTTAAGTGAATCTTTTGCCGTGAAATATTGAGTTTTCAACTTGAGATTGATGACACTTTGGTATCATCCGAGATCTTATCACTTTTCTAGAATCATATAGCTAACAAGACTTTATATCTGTTTGACGTTACGATGATATTTGATAAGGTCATTTAGTCGTATATTGATTGAGGAGTACGAGAACTAAGGGCTCATAAGTCATGCCTTAATATGTTATCAACATGTCCTTTCTCTCTAATGCATTCGATTCTTAATATATATATATATATATATATATATATATATATATATATAGTTCAATTCTTGAGTCGAGTTTTCTAACACTAAAATAGATAGTTATAGAATACAATCTCGATGGACTTCGAATCAGTATTCCGATCTATAATTTTATATTTTAAAATATTTTTTTTAATTACTAATAAAAGAAAATTATTGGTGACCGTTTTTGTTATCAATCTAATGTGATTATGAACTCAATTCTTTTAATATATCAAATATTTGTTTAAAAATATTTATCACACAATTTATAGTGTTTGAACTCTAACTACTATCAATTTTTAGTTAAAAATATTTTCTTTCTATGTTACTTTGATATGATCTGTTTAGCTGACAGGTTAATGTTTTATGATCAACTCCACAGTTTAGCTGTCATTGATGATTCTCATGTTACTAATAGATGAAAGCATATTAGATGATTAGATATTTTTCGTACACGCTGAATCAAATGCCGGAGGAACGAATACCGACCGGTAGACGTAGCCTTCTACGTTACATCGCAACGTCGAATATGACCGGTAGACGTAGCCATACACTTACCGTTCGTATGCGTGTCTACGTCTCAATGTCGTCATCGCTATCTTTAATGTCAGGTGCAGCTGCAGAGCAGAAATATCTATCTCAGCCAGCTTAGTTCGATGTCCATTGCGACACGGTCGACCCAAACCGGTACACCGTTCAACGGGCTCGATTTCACGTCCTATTGGCTTTTCCGGTCCAATTTGGTGTGGAATCTCGCGTATGATCGACTTGACGGTTCAAAGATGATTCGGGATTCAACCGGTCGAGCCGAAGTCTTCCGTAACCTGCGGGCGGTTCAACCCGACCCACAAATCGAATGAATCAGTGGATAAAAGGGCACGAACGTCATTTCATGACTTGAGACAGTTGCGTCTTGTGGGTCCCGCTTCCGGCGGAAGACAGGGACGCCGGTTGGTACCCCGCGGGTAAGGTCAGTGGCCCCATCACGGTCCGGCTGAGGGTCGAGTGGTGGGTGTGCCGGTGTGGGACGGTGGAGGAATCGCGGGCAGCGGCTGGGAGGACGGGGCGGGCAACCTGCCCGGGCTGCCCGAGATGGGGGGCCTGCGCTCTATAAGTTCCGGTGCTGTGTAGCTGAACGTAGTTTGCCGCTTTAGCTCTTTGAGTCTATCTTCGAAGGTTCGTTTTGGCCGATATTTTCCTTTTTCTTGTAATTTTTCTCATCCGAAATAATTTGCTTAAACCTGAACCTCAGATCTGAAGGAAATCAAGGACAGAAAAATGGCATCCAACTTCGTGAGCAAGGAAGACGACCACGATTACCACCAGCACTACCAGGCACCGTCGCCGCCGGGAGTTCGGAGGACTTGGTCCTCCAACTCATCCGCCTGCGGCCAGGGGGCCGTCCCGAAGTGCGTGTGCGCTCCGACCACCCACGCGGGTTCCTTCAAGTGCCGTCTCCACAGGACGAGTTCCCACAGCCACACCCCCGCCTCCCCCACCTCTATCCCTCCGCCGCCGCGCGTGAACACCTCCCGCGCCCCCACCGTGGAGGCCCAGTGACTACAAGAAAGCTTCAGAAGTAGGGATATGTTTGGTGATTCCCGATGGTTATGGAGATAATTATGGCGTCTAGAGGGTGGAGGAGAGAGAGAGAGACGGGTGTTACCAGTGTTGTAATTAGTCCTTTCCCGTAATAGCTAGTTCTGTTTTCCGTGTGTGAGAAATGATACCTCATGTAGTAGTTTCATTTGGAGATCTTGTTGTTGTTGAAGCTGTTCTTGTAGATATTATCCGCTTCCAAGCACCAAAGAAAACAAAAACGAGTGTTGCTATCTGTAATGTTCTAATCCGATCAACTCGTGGATAAACATCAGTGTTTGAGAAAGGACAGATACAACAATCAACAGGTGGCAGACTCAGTGGGGGTGAGACAAACGAGTTGACGTTTTTACTTTGCTCTTTACCTTTTTGCCACACTTTTTCCCTTCGTCGTTTGCTGTGGACAGCGGTAATTGGTTGCCTTCGATCTGCCCAGGTATGCGATCAACCATTGTGGGTTCTTGGGCATCAAGCAGCAGGATGCAAGATGATTGCCCCCAGTGTGTTCCATGAATTGCGCGTCCTCTGGTAAGAGGTTATTTCTTTGTTCCCAGGTGTGTGTGTGTGGATGTAGTTTCTTGTAGTTTTACTGTGAGTCCTCGAAATCTATGGCAAAAGAAGTCTTGGTTCTGCAAGAATTCCATGCGAGAACTGTGGTATCATTATTTTACTGCTGCTGCTGTTTGTTCTTTTCCTGCACTGGTCGGCTCGATGACATGGCTATATACTGCACCTAATTTGTCGTTATTGAGTATTTTTAGCAATGGTACAATTTCAATTTGTAGATATGGTACTTGCAAACTTAGATGATGAGCAGGAGATTGAAATACTGAAGGTGTCACCATCAGAGCTAATGGATGTGGGCCTTGGTTGGCTGCCACTGTGCTTTTACTTGTTCTAATTATTTGCTGTGCTGAGGCTTTTGATTGGGACCTTGTCTGGATATACACAGATAGAAAAATGTTGTTTGATGAAATCAAAGTGTAAGACTTGAATAAGATTGATTTGTCAAAGTTTAGCTTTTTTTTTTTCTTTTGTATTCCACAAACTGTGTGCTCGCATCTTGTGGGATATGTTTCTTCCATCAATTTCTGCAGTGTTCCAAAATTCGCTTTTCTAGCTTCTGTTTGTAGGTATTGTAATGCATATACCAGTTGATTCTTATTCTAAATTCTAAGTTCTAAAATTTACTTTTTGTGTGTCGGAAGTTATTGCGGCTGCTATGTGCTGTTAACCAGTCTAAAAACTTACCCTCTTTTATGTGTGAATTTACTATGTTTCCCTGTCCACTGAAATTGCTGTTTTGGCCACCCACCTGACGCTGTGATGCTAACAGTGGCATGTCATTCATTCTTTTGCGAGGAATTGATTCATCAGACTTGTTCTTTCATATGCTGGCTAAGATGGTTGCTTGCCAAACTCTCTTTAATTACTGTGTGTGTCAGGCTATTTATTATTGTCTCTTAACTTGTTCACTTGCTCAATCTTGTTCCTTCGTTGATGGATTTCTCAAGAAGTATTCTGCTGATAGGTTATAGCAGATTAAGGCTATTACAAATTGACTTAAGTTGCTGTTTGGTTTCACAAATCCCTGAAATAGAGTTATGTACCATATCATATTGTGAGACCCTTTTTTCTTTTGAGTGGTTTGTCAAATGAAGGCTTAGGAAACATCTTTTTTATTATTCTGGTTCGCTTAAGTCGGGCCTTCGTCACTCTTCCATACTTAATTGTGTTAGAAGAAAAGTTAATATATCTTTTTAATACTGACTGAACTCTAAATGGTTTAAACTAGTTTTCCTTTTTTTGCATCATAATTTTGTAGTCTTTGACTTGCTAGATGTTGGTACTCATTGTTGTGGTGGTTAAACAATTTTGAAGAATTCTTGTGGATTTTGAGGTAATCTTAGCCCTCCTCAGATCCCATATTGACAGAGCCTTCTTACAGTCATTGAGTGGTCAATCTAATCTAATAAAAAGTCTCACTAATTTATGAAGGCACTAAATTTTGTTACATTGAAGTAGATTAAACTATAAAATGATGCATTTACGATGTGTAAATTAAGTTGATCATTTGACTGATTATTGTCCCCATCTGGTTAAGAGTCAACAGTGACAGTTTCTTGTTCTTGGAGTTTTGGAAAATCTGAATTATTGAGACAACCACTGAACATGATGAAGTGTATAGTCTACTATGTTTGACCTGAACAAAGGAAACTAGATATAAGTGGTTGAGGTGATCCATTCTCCAACTTGTGTATTGTCGAACTAAACTTGCAGGGTTTAAGATGCAAACAAATTATTATGAGGGGTGATATTACCAAACATATTTCTCATGATTGCTTGCTGTGATATCTTAGCAATTAGTTCCATTGTTAGCTGTGCTAGTTATGAAAGTCCAGCTTAATTAGAACCTGCCCATGCTTTAACTAAAATGGAAATTCTGATTGGTTTTAGGCATCTTTGTCAATAAATTGGAAAAGTTAATATACCTAGATTTTGATTTCAAACTCTTTTGGTTTGAGCATTGACTAGTCTTCTTCAACAGCTTTTGTTTGAATCATATGGAAATTCTGAGGTTTTATCTGCATATGATTTTTGTCCAGCCTTGCTGATGTACTAGTAACGCATCTATGCAATATATTGAGATGTGTAGTTTTGGTGAATAAATGTGTCGCGGTTGATGAATTAGCACGACCCGGTCCACAGGTCAATGTCGGGAGCTTTTTACGGGGTGATTCGGATGATGAGGTACCCGAGCTCTCGGGAAGGAGTGTTGATTGGCGTTGGTTGGGATCGGGGCTGATTGGCGACTCCTTGGTGCCAAGCGAATCGCGCTCCCGTGCTGAGTCCCTCACCGTCGATGAGTGGTAGCCCTCCTGCAAAATGGCCTCCGTCGGGTGGTACCCGACCGTGGCCCCTCCGACGAGCAAGTTAGTAACGAGAGGGATTGTTCTCTTTTCTCTCCTTCTCTAGTCGGAGGCCAGCCAGGTTTATACTGTGGCGCGAAGGTTGATGGTGTGTCAGACGACATCGCCCCGAGCCATCGGGACGGGACGTGTGGAGCAGGGTTTTGACTTGACGTGCTATGTCGGCTATGACGTGTTCAAGCTCTATCAAAATATACCATATCACGTGGGAATGCCTATCATGCCTTGGGTAAAGTGTGCTGGAATGATGTTTTGTATTGGACTGTGGTTAACTATAAGAAATTCTAATTTGCGAATGCTCATGGACTTCTGGTCATTGTTGACCTCCAGCGGACCAATGACTTGGTCAATGGATGAAGTCATCGCATATGCTTTCTTAATTAACTGAACTTGAAGGAATTTGGTTGATAAAATATAAGTCAGCGCAATTTTTTATTTGGAGTCTTTCTTTAATTCCTTTTTTGAAAAGGGTTTGAATTGAGTTATTCTTTCCTTGTTTTCTACAATTAAATCGGTTCAATCAATCCATTAATTTTTAAATCAGTATAATCCATTAATTCAAATCGATTTAAATTAATAGTGTATATATTTAATAAAAATAATAATACTTAAACTAAATGTTTAAAAAAAAGTATACAGAAAAGAGTACAAAAATCAAAATCATATAGACATTATAAAATAATAAATTAAGATAATATTCATATAAATGTAAGAATATTTTAAGGCACTTATAATTTTATGTTATTTTGTATGGTTATTTTATTTGTATTAATTTAAATATTTAATAATTGTTAGTCGAAGATGGATTAACCCAAGCAGCACATGTGAGCGGAGTCCGGTTCGAAGATGATGGTTTGCTTCTGAGCCCGGTCGGACCACGAACGCGTGCTCACCCGTTGTTCTGGTTCAGAGGTGAAGGTGCGGGGCCCCGATAGCTTTGTTTGTCTGTATCGTCAGTGTCATCATTGCTCCTTACCAAATTCCAAGCCTCGAGGCGACTCCACCTGCCCTATCCCATTCCTATTGGTCTCCGCTCGCCTGTCTCGTCCTCCTCCTCCTCCTCTTGGGAAGTTACACAAACAGTTGATCTTCATTGAAAGCTGAAGGATAGGAGGAAGAGCTAGGTGATCATGGGGGGAACCGGCGGCGGCGTGGGGGTTGGGGACCGTGGGGGGACGCCGGATCGGGGTTCGTCGGAGGCGGATGGGGAGGAGGAGCAGCAGAAGCAGCAGCGGTCGGAGATCTACACGTACGAGGCGCCGTGGCACATCTACGCCATGAACTGGAGCGTGCGGCGGGACAAGAAGTACCGGCTGGCAATCGGGAGCCTGCTCGAGGGCTACGGCAACCGGGTGGAGATCGTGCAGCTGGACGAGGCCACGGGGGAGATCCGCTCCGACCCGGCCCTCTCCTTCGAGCACCCTTACCCCCCCACCAAGGCCATGTTCGTCCCCGACCGCGACTGCCTCCGCCCGGACCTCCTTGCCACTTCCGCCGACTTCCTCCGCATCTGGCGCGTCGCCGACGACTCCTCTCGCGTCGAGCTCCGCGCTTTCCTCAATGGCAATCGGAACTCTGAGTTCTGCGGCCCGCTGACCTCCTTCGACTGGAACGAGGCCGAGCCCCGCCGCATCGGCACCTCCTCCATCGACACCACCTGCACCGTCTGGGACATCGATCGCGAGGCCGTCGACACCCAGCTAATCGCTCACGACAAGGAGGTCTACGACATCGCCTGGGGCGGGGTCGGCGTCTTCGCCTCCGTCTCCGCCGACGGCTCCGTCCGCGTCTTCGACCTCCGCGACAAGGAGCACTCCACCATCATCTACGAGTCCGCCGACCCCCCCGGCACCCCGCTGGTCCGCCTCGGATGGAACAAGCAAGACCCCCGCTACATGGCCACCATCATTATGGACAGCGCCAAGGTCGTAGTCCTCGACATCCGCTTCCCCACTCTGCCCGTCGTCGAGCTCCATCGCCACCAGGCCAGCGTCAACGCCATCGCCTGGGCTCCCCACTCCTCCTGTCACATCTGCACTGCCGGCGATGATTCGCAGGCCCTCATCTGGGACCTCTCCTCCATGGGCAGTGACCAGGCGAGCGGCCACCAGCCTGTCGCCTCAGCCGCCACAGCCGAGGGCGGCCTCGACCCCATATTGGCTTACACCGCTGGTGCCGAGATCGAGCAGCTTCAGTGGTCCTCCTCCCAGCCCGACTGGGTGGCCATCGCCTTCTCCACGAAGTTGCAGATACTCAGGGTTTGACAGCCTCATCTTCAATCAGGAACCAAATCGAGAAGCTAAAAAAGGGTTATGCATCACAATTACCATCCACATTATTCACTAATGCCTATTATGCTTAGGATGATATAACATCAGGTTTTCTAATTAAACTAGGAAATGCAGGTTCCATAGTCTTTTGTCTGTGTGTCTGTGGTAGTAGGTAGCTTCTGAGCTTGTCAACCGAAACTGCATTCTATGGAGTAGGGATATCATTGACTCCATTTTCGAGAGTTATTGCTTTCTCTGGGTTGTATGTTTAATTCTAGTGATAGAACTTATGCACATATATAATGACTAATTTCAGCATGAAAAGAGTAGTTGGAAACAAGACTTATATTTTCATGTTTTCTACTGCCACTTTCTTGATTGTCATATGCATTTATTCTGATGGTGTTGCAGCCCTTATTTTTATGTTACTTCTCTGTCTTTTCATCGTTCCTTTCTTCCTATCTGAAACTCATATCTTTGTTTCTTTTGTGGCCTTCTCATCTTCAAGTAATCCTTTTTGTTAAGCTTTAGATTTTCACTCTTGGAGCATTGGTAATATAAATTTTTCGGAAGGAACAGGAGTGTTTTTCTTTTGGTTTTACTTTTCTGTTTGACACTTCTATGCTTGATTTTCCTAGACAAGTGATGGCTTTTACTTCACAAACTTTCTACTATGTTTTAGTAGAAAACTTTAACGTGGAATAATTTTGTAATGGTTCTGGAAGGATAATTGAGGAAATGCTTGTCCTATTCCCCGATACTTTATTAAGAACCTACAAAGGTAGGTAGGTGGTAGATCAGTCAAATTATTATGTGGCAAAGTAAATGACAATGTAAAGATTTAGCACCTCTATTGATCCTTGCTAGGGTCAGTTATAGTATTAATTTCTTTAGGCCTTCCAATCAAATTTGAAGACTTTCTACACTACCTTTGCACATACTATATAATACTTTTGCTGAAAGTAAGTGGCCTAGGACCATTAGCTCAAAAAAGTTTCATGTTATTTTGTTCCTAATGAATTTTTGTGACATATGATATCACCAATGACGATTAGGATCCCTTTCTTTTCTTAGCTTTTGAATAATATTTTGTTGAGTTTGTTTAGTTCGGTAAGAGTCAGATAGAGGTTTATTTAATATTTATTTATTATTATGAGTCCAAGTCCTGGTGGACTCTGGGTGAAACTCTATAAATAGGGATGTATTTATTTCTTTTAACCTATCAATGAAATATTATCTAGTTTTTTGACAAACCTTAAGAGGTCGATCCCGTCGAAGTGATCAAGGAGGTTGATCCCCTCGAAGCGATCATCCATTTTCTCCCTCTTCTTCTACGATAAAACCCTAGGGGTCTTATCATTTGGTATCAAAGTAGCGATCTTCGGTGTTCCCGTTGTAATTTCTCATATCACTTCATCGTCTCATCCATCATCTAAAAAAAACAAAAAAATGAAGCACACGGCCATGCCCCATCCCGCTCGAGTGAGAAAGGGGTGCCTCATCCCACCTTCCGCCGTAGTCATCCTTAGCCGCGCCTTTGTCGGAGACGGCGCTGCCAGCGTCCCGTCCCGCCGCAGCCGCGCGACTACTTCCTAGCCCTCAGCAGCGGCTTTTTCTCGCTGCTCCTAACCCTCGACATTTGCGCCCCTCAGTTGCGCCTCATCCTATCGCTGCTTCTCGGCCAGCGATCACCGTCACCGTCGCTTCCCGGCCAGAGTCCACCGTCACTCGCCTCCCAGTCGGAACCCTCACTGCCTCCCCTTGGGTCGCAGTCGCTTGACCTTCCCTCATCGCAGAGACCGAAACAGGGTAACCACGACCGCCGCAGTCGCCGTTGTTTCCTCCCCTCTTTGCTATCGGCATCGATAGCAACCGCCTCCCAGCCATGCCGTCAACACTACCTCGGTCGATGCCCGCTTCCCAGCCGCGACCCTTACTGCCTCCCGTTGGGTCGTAACCATAGCCGCTCGCGGTGATGCTTTTGCCTCCAGTCGCTCGCGTAGCGATCGTAGCGAGCCCTCACGCTGGTCTCGACATTCGCTTCCTCACCAGCCTCGTAGCGATCCCGCACGCCCTCAATGCTACTCCCAACTGCGCCACCACCGCTGCCTCCCAACCTCGGCAGTAGTGTCCTCCTCGTAGCGATCGATTCCTCACGCCCTCAATGCAAGCTTCACAACAACTACACCGAATAGGACAGTGCTGATGCCCTTAACTAGACAACAAAAACAAGAGTCAAGGATTACAGATCTACAATTCTATGCAATAGCTATCGATAATTCAGTGAAAGCTCAATTAGAAGCCTTGGAAATCAGAATTGAGAATCGGCTGCAAGAAACACTTAATGATTTCAAAAAAAGCCTACTAGAAAGCTTTAACAAGATGAAAGTTCAAGTCTTACATTGAACCGATCTAGAGACGGGAAAAAGGATCCAAGAATAGGACATAAGCTACCCACGCATGAAGGTGAAATTTTCAAGATGGGAAGATGGAGATCCGACCAGTTGGATCTCTAGGGCAGAAAATTTTTTCGTTTTCACAGAACCCTAGAAGAATCGAAGGTGGAAATAGTTTCAATCCAGCTAGATGGAGATGCAATCCAATGGTATGATTGGTACGAAACTTGTCATGAGGTTTCCTCGTGGGAGCAATTCAAGAGAGGACTTCTTATTCGCTTTGGACCATCTGAATACGAGAATGTTGATAGGCAACTCACCAACATTCGTCAGACTTCTACAATTTTAGAATATCAGAGCAGATTTGAACGATTGTCAAATCAAGTCAGAGATTGGTTCGAATGACAACTGGTGGGTACATTTATTGAAGGACTTAGTCCAGATATCTAGTGTGAAGTCAAAGCTAGCCAATCCCGTACTATGATAGCCGCAATTTCATTTGCACGTTTATATGAAGAAAAAATCAGCAGGAAAAATCGTCGAAACAGAAGTAACAACAATCAGATGATCAGCAAGCCACCCGCCCCATCTATTCCCAACCGGAACCCTAACACCCGAAGACTAACCTGAGAAGAACTCAAGGAAAGTTCAGCGAAAGGTTTGTGCTGGCACTATGATGAAAAGTGGAGTAGGGAGCACCGATGTAAACAAGGGCAACTTCTGATAATTGAACCAATTAGGGAGGAACCGAAATCTAACAATGTGGACTCCGATCATGAAGGTATGGATTCTGATGAAAATGTTGGACCTATCATACATACAGTGCATGCATCTGCCGACTACTCTAACCGCAAACTATGAAAGTCGGAGGAACTTTGGAACATCAGCATGTTACAGTTTTGATTGATACTAGTAGCATTAACAATTTTATGGATAGTAAGGGTGCTGACCGATTAACCTTCCACATTGAAGGCTGTAACAAATTCGAAGTAAAGATCGCTGATGGACGAATTTTAACTTGTGATAGCAAATGTTCGAAGATAAAGTTAATTATACAGGGCCAAGAGTTGCTTGTGGACTTCTTTTTGTTACCCTTAGAAGACTTTGAAGTGGTGCTTGGAATTAAATGACTATCAACCTTGGGTGATGTTTTTTGGAATTTTTATAAACTAATCATGAATTTTTTTATTAATAGAAAGCAGGTGATCCTAAAGGGAAGACGTGAAAGTAAGGTCACAACTACCACTAGCCATCAGATGCAAAGGGTTCTTTAGAAGACTGTAACGACTACTACACCGAAAGGCCGATCTATTGCTTACACTATCAAGAAGTGGTGATCGTACTTACTTGATCAACGGGTTGTGATGCGCTGCAGATACCCTGTGACTGAAGTGCTGAAAAAGAAACTCCCCAAGTTTGATGCTGCTTAGCCTTGAGGACAAGGCTGATTTGAAGAGGGAGGAATTGTTAGGATCCATTTATTTTTTGAGCTTTTGAATAATGTTTAGTTTAGTTTGTTTAGTTCGGTAAGAGTCAGATAGGGGTTTATTTAATATTTATTTATTATTAAGAGTCCAAGTCTTGGTGGACATTGGGTGGAACTCTATAAATAGGTATGTATCTGTTTCTTTTAACCTATCAATAAAATATTATCCAGTCTTTTGACAAACCCTACGAGGCCGATCCCCTCGAAGCGATCATCCCTTTTCTCCTTCTTCTTCTACGATAAAACCCTAAGAGTCTTATCAATGACCTATTATCATGTCAAGCTGAAAACAACTGTATGTTTGATTAAAGTAAACATAAACAAGGATTTGCTCATTTGTGGTCTCATTTACACTCCTAATTGCAAGTGGCATCCGGTGAGAGTGGTGATTGATTGTCATTACTGCATCCATCCTCATATCCTCTACCTCCTTGTCATTCTCTTCTTGATATCGTTGCTACAGCTGACTATGCTGCAGTGACTTTTATCATGTCCTTCCTAGTTTTCTGTTGATTTCAGCTATGAGCCACGAAATCGGCTAAATTTTGGTTAGTTGAGATCGATCAGTATCAGTCAATTTGGTGAGTCTTGCAATGACAGTTCTGAAAATGGATTCTTACTTTTAGTGATCTGAATTATGAACCATTCATCATTTTGTGTGTGCAGTAGTGTAGGTAACCGTGAATTAGAAAGTGGCATGAGGAAATGACGTTTGATGTTGGTTTATTGTGCTGAGAAGATTCTTATATATGTGTATTATTCAAAATGTTGTAACTAACAGATTCTTTAGGCCTTTCTAAGATCATTCTAGCATTGAACATGGCACTTCAATTTTCTCAATGTTTCAGGGTGACTAGACTAAATGATATTTGATTCTAATGATGTTTCTTAGCCTTTTTGGAGAACAGCTGACTCAGATAACATCTTGTGTTGGTGGTTTAGGAGTGAAAAGGGTAGGTAGATACTGATGTTTGAGATAAAACATTTCTGAACCTATTACGGTGGATTAATATGGAAATGTTATTTCCTATGTTTTTGTACTTAAGGTTGGTGCCCACCTGCTGACAAAAAATTACTAAACAAAGTACCTCAGCATGACAGGGTTGAGAGTAGTTGAACCATTTGGAATGAGAGTTGTATATGTCCATCATTTGTGCTGTCTGAATTGACCATCAAAGGAGGTTGTAATAATTTTTGTAGGATTTCTTTGGAATATATGGATGTCTTTCTCTGTCTGTCTTCTGGTTTGTCTTCTGAAATATGATAAGAAAGAAAAATGAAGGATAACATGTAAAACATTCATTTTCATCATGCACCAAGATAGATGAAAAGCTTTATGCTATCTCCTCTTCTACTGGTTCGTGGTTATATTATTTTCAATATGTAATGCATTGTTTGCTGCAATATTTACCCTTGAAACAAACATAGCAAGATGCTTGTACACCCCATAGTCATAATAACCAATGCCAGCATACTTTCTTAAGTTTATATTCCGTATAGGACATGAGACCTATTTTCAGTAAATTGTTTGAGATTTTGATATTGAAAGGACTATTTGATGTGATATTCTGTGAAAATGATGATCAGAGGTTCAGTATGTGCTGGCCATGTTGCAAAATATTAGCATTTGTTCATAGCCTCCTATTGTTGTTATCAGGTTAGTGTCTAGCATCAGTATTTGGTAATTTTGATGACTGAAAAATGGTAGTGGCATTTGATGTTGAAGGAATATGATAACTATTTAAATATCATTTCTTGCCTTTTAGAGGACATATATATTTTTTCCTCTGGCAGAATTTCCGTTAAAGCTGGTCATGCATTGGATATAAATGAAAAGCTCTGGAAATAGTCAACAGGATAGTTGTTTTTCTATTTTATTTATTGAATGCTGTCTCAGTTATGCCAATATATCTAATATGGTGATCAGTTAAATGTCTTACTGCCTTTTCTTCTCTTATAATCTTCTTTATGTTGTTTTCTCCAGAAGTTAGTAAAGTGCAGTTCTTTATTTGTTTTGTTGTGATATCCAAAGAAATATTTTATCAGGGTTTTCCCTAATTCTCCTGCATGCTATGCTATGGTCGTAAATTTGCCATTTCTCTACAGTCGTGTTAGACCCATTAAAGTCACACTGTTTGACACTATATTTTATCATCTGGTGATAAATGAGTTACCACATTTGTGAAGTTGACATCACAGAGTTGTGCATCTCTAAGTGGTCTCCGCACATGCCGCGATGTCTTTTAAGTATTTTTCTCCACAGATGCTTTCTATAGCTGGCTTTTGTGTTCTTGATAACGTATCAGCTCTCTGCAGCTAGGATTTCCAGCCGAAGAGGACTTCATTGTTTGTTAATTGAGCTTGCTACTCTCCGTGTGGTTCTTCGATACGAAAACAAGGTAACACTAATTTGTTTCTGGTACCATTCCTCATTTGTAAGTTAATGCCTTAATTTATGAGTACATTATAATTGAGTTGTAGGTTCTATCGGCAGACACTGGTTGAAGAAGAAACCTGTATCAAACTTTGTGTGGATGTTGGTTGCTTGGCAGGCCTGTTTACAAATTGAAGGCTGCTTTGATGCTTTAAACTCTCGATATGTTCTTGGGAGTGACAGCAGTAAAGCTGGTTCTTTGAAGGTATTGATTCTCTTATTCATCAATTCATTTCTGGCTTTTGTTGATGACAATGTATTCACTACTCACAGTTGATCAATGAGTTTGATGCAGTATAGAGATCTTGTCGCCCTGCGAAGGCGACAAAGCCGTCGCCTACAACCCGGACGAACCCTTTGGTTTGGCACCAGCCTCGTCCCCATCCTCTAGGTGCTCAATGAAAGTTCCCTATGAATCCCACCCGCCTGTCTTCGGTGAGCATTACCCACAAACCCAGTTTTTTCTTTTGAAGTTTCGTATGGTTTCTCATCCATGGATCTAGATACTTCAGATGATGCTACAATATGGTGGAATTTTTGGGATTGAAACTCCAAGGACTCTAACATGCATGATTTAAGCTAAAATAAGTTAAGGGTATTGGTGTTAGCCTACACTGGTGGGATTTTGCCTAGGGGTGACTATGATTCGGTTTAAACTGGAATTGAATTAGCCTGGAACCAAACCGAATCATGTCAACGGTTCAACAGTTTCGAAACGAACTGGGATCGAGGCCGTACGGTTCGGTTCCGGTTTCGAACTGGGCTAAATATGAAAAAAAAAACCATAAATAGGGTGGTTAATACGCTATTTATTTGTGTTCAAATCTTTTTTTTTTTCAATTGAAACTAGTGGGTTAAATTGAAATCGAAACTAAATCGGCTGTTCCGAAACCATGCTCACCCCAACATTCTGGTGCTTAGATCACGGTATTATTGTATAGGATGATGGTGTTAGCTCAATAATTTGAAGCAGAACAGATAGGTTAGGAAGAGAGCTCGGGCACATAAAGAAAAGCTGCAGGGTCTAGTTTAGCCATCTCATTGTGTTGTATAACACATTAAAAACAGTAATGAAGCATGATGATGTAGCCATCATACTACTGCATATATTGACCTTCTGCATATTTCATGTACTAGGATTGAGCCTTCTTATATATATATATATATGTATGTATGTATGTATGTATGTATAATAGCCCAATCAACATAGAGAGGCAAGTCCGAAGATGCCGCCTCTTATTGTCTTCTACATGGACAAGAGTCTACGAAGGATAACCATGAACTGTCCCCTTGTAGAATATATCTTATGGGATATTTTTTTGGGATAAAATGTTACTTTTGGTATGCAAGGAAGGTTAGTCATATATTTTTACAGCGTTCATTTTAAAGGATTGAGCTGAAAAGCCCATACTTGATCTCAATATCTGTGCAGATCTTCGTCGGGGCTTGTGAGTGCATCGATACTAACCCCAGGAAACCTCTAACTGTGTCTTGATAGGATCTCATCCTATAGGCGAATCACATCATCCATTCTCATCCTCAACAACAACTCTTTTGATACAATCTAGACCTTCCTACCATTGATTGACTCATTGGCTCGTTTGTGGCTGTGTAACCTTCAATTCAATTCAATTCCATGTTCCAATTTGGTACTCGGAAAGTTAAAATCATTCCAAAACACGCGTGTTGTCTCGATTCCAATCACCGGTAAGACACTAGTTTCAAAGAAGGGATAAAGAGACGTGATGGGTGGGATGGGACGAAAACATATGTTCCGGTAGACCGTGGTTTCCAAGTCTGACACCTTCGAGAGAATTCATATTAGACCTGAAATCCGCGTAGATGATGTAAATTCAAGTTATAAATAGTACATCATTATTTTTTTAATCAGACATTTGTAAATGAGGGATACATGTAAAATTCGACCTTATGACATACATCATGATAAGAATATTAGATGATCAGTAATCCTAAGAAGCTAAGGTTTTAACAAGTGTAATTATTTTAGATCGAATCATCCGTCTTCAGTCTAACACGTCCTTCAAGATCTCAACGTGTTTACCGGATCTCAAACCCGCCCAATGACTCGAAAGCTTGGTGGGTGTATAATTGGACCCGTTTTCTTAATCGTTCCACCACCACCATCCATCCATCGTCTCAACATTTTGGTCAATGGTGTGAGAAGTCTAGATAGATCGTGTTGTTTGCTGCCGATCCACGCACGAGAGAGAGAGAGAGAGAGAACACCTCCAACTACATGGATTTCTATTCGCCATCCTAGTCTCTCGTTAATGCGAACACCACCCACTCATTCCTGCGCTTCTCGTGTGTACAGCAGATTAATGGTTTCTTTTCTCGAATGTATGTGTCAGTTGCCGTCACATAATGGTGTCAGGAAGAGGGCAGTGTAGACTGGAAATATTCAACTCAACTCCCGCGTACCAAAGCTTCGAGCGAAGAGTTAGCAAACACAAGCGAAGTCGGGATAAGATAAAGCCAAAACAGGGGGGAAGAGACGGGGAATAGGAGTCGATTGGTGACTCGTTTCATGCGTGAGAGAACCTTAAAGGCCCTGTCTTACAGGCAAACAGAGTGATGGTGACAAAAGCCTGGGCGCAGAGCCACGCCACAAATTAACATGGTGTTGGTGGTGCTGCATCCTAATTAAGACACAGAAGAGAAAAGCTCGTTCTGGGACAGTAGGGGTTGGTCATTTCCACTGACGACTGGTACATGTTGATGCTGTTTATGGAAGGGAAAGGTAAGACCCAAAGCAGAGGAGGAGCAGTGAGTGACAGGAGCTATGATTTGATAACAGGAGCAGTCGACATAGTGCGAGGGAATCGTATCAGTTTTTTTTTACTGCGACATGTAGTGCGGTGAGTCCTCTCTCTCTCTCTCTCCCTCTCGCTAGCCTTTCCTCGTTTGACCCACTCGGTCTTCCTTCCCCTGCTGAGCATAGGTCGCACGCACAGGAGAAGGAACAAAAGCAATAATAATGATGTGAATCCACAGTAGCGTCCACAGCGTCCTGATAGATCCCTTTTGAGGGCAGTGGTGGGAGGTCATTAAATCTCGGACAGTAGCGTGAATAGGTGAGCAATAAAGATGGTGAGATGGGGGACACAGTTGTCAGCGGCCGTTTCTCACAGCAGTACCCGACATAGCGTTGCAGCTGACTGACCCCACTCTCTCTCTCTTATCATCAGAGAGACAGAGAGAGAGATATGAGAGAGAAGCAGTCAGGAAAGAAAGCGACCGATGGACACAACGATAGGGG